GGATGTTAGAAAAGAAATGAGTCTTTAGAGATACATCAACTTGGTGAGAGATATGTACGATAGAGCGCTAGCTAGTGTACGAACAACTAGTGGAGAGATGAGTGAGTTTTTAATGACAATAGGTCTACATCAAGGGTCAACATTGAGTTCATGCCTCTGTCTTAGTTATGGACGACTTAACTAGGCATTTACAAGATGAGGTACCGTGGTGTATGTTGTTTGCAAATGACATAATTTGAATCGATGAGACTTGAAACGACATCAACACAAAGTTGGAACTTTAGAGGGATGCTCTATAATCTAAAGGCTTTAAAACTAGCAAGACTAAGGCTAAATATATCGAATGCAAGTTTCATAATAATAGGAGTGCACTTCCGATATCTTGGGTCGATAATCTAGGAAAATGGAGAGATTGAGGAAGATGTTGCACATAGAATTAGAGCTGGGGTTGAAGTGGAGATGTGCAACTGGAATTTATGTGATCACCACGTACCAATGAAGCTGAAGGGCAAGTAACAATGTACCTATAGAATGAGTGTAGCGGAGTTGAGGATGTTGAGATGGATAAATTGAAAGACAAGAAATGATAGAATTCTAATTGAATACACTCGGGAAAATTTCGGTACGGCACCCATAGGCGATAAGATGAGAGAGAGTAGACTTAGGTGGGCTGGTCATGTGTGGCGTAGACCCAGTACAACGCCTATTAGGAGGGGAGTATTAGTTCAGGTGGAAGGCTAAAAAATGATAAGGGGTAGGCCCAAAAGGACATGGTTGGAAGTAGTGAGTAAAGATATGGGGACTTATGACCTCACTGAGGCTGTGACCCTTAATAGAGAAAAGTGACGGACCATAATTCGTGTAGCCGACCCCAATTAGTGGGGAAAAGGCTTTGATAGTGATGATGATGATGACACTTTTTCACACAACACATGCTATTTACTGATCTATCTTGTATTGTGAAAGGCTGTTATGGTTTTGGGGTGTATGTGGAATTGCCTTGGGTGCATTCCCTATGGATATGGTAATCTAGGTAGTTCATGTTAATAGTTCTTCTATTGACTTGGTGCTTTCATGTTTATTGTGTTTGTATTACATACCTAGACCCATTGCTTGCATGTGTTTTCCATACTATTATGCTTTGTTTTCTGCTCTCTGTATGCGTACACCAATGCAAAAAGGTGCAGCATCCTCTTTGAGATTCAATTGAAGTTAATTATAAACAAAGACACTGCACCTTTTTTTGTTTATGATGAGTGAGATGAAATATCCTATTTCTTAATGTACAGCTGTATACCAATGGATAAGTGTACCTGTGGCTGCATTGATAGGTTTATTCTGGATTGTGCATGAGGGAGGAGGGAGGGAGGGAGGGAGAGGTTTCATGATTAATCATGACCCAGAAAGTATTTTCCGAGATAAGAGAGTTCACTTGAACTTTCTTACATTCTCTTTGTAATGGGGAACACAATTGTTTTGGGATTGAGATTTTAATTTTCAATATTTAAAGTCTGCATCTCATGCATTATTTTTATGAGAATTATTTGAATGTTACATGAAGGGTTGGCTAGGAAGGTGATTTAAAGTGTGACAATCCAAACTCCTGCCATTCCAATGGGAAAATGGTCATTACATATATTGAAGCTTAGCTTATGGCATTCCATTTTTGAAAACATAACATTCCCAAGGTTCACTGATGGTATTGGAAGGGCATTGCATGTCTTTATTAAATTTTGGAGAGTTTAATCTTTGAAACAAAAGGAGTTTCTATTTCAATATAGTTTGTTATTGTGTGCAACATATATTGAGCTTGGTCTGGTTAGATCCATAACGTGAACCTGAAAAGTGGGCATTGCCATTTGTTGCCTCTTGTTTGATGAGAGCCATAATATTCACCCTTTCCTCTTACTTGTACAACATTTTATTGCAAAATTTGAACTCATACCCGTACCTAGATGGAGCCTTTGTATGATTTACATGTTATCGACATCTTATAGCGCATAGCAAAAATTTAAATGGATTAAGCTTCTTGCATCCTGTTAATTTTTAGTTGTTAATCAATGACATGACAAACATTTGAGTTGTAGTGTATAATCCTTCTTGCTGTCATTGTTTGTCAATGTATTATGTGGTTAAGCTAGTCAAAATGCAAAAACAAGGTTATCTATCTACCTCTCTAATATATATATATATATAGCAAGGTATGATATGGTTTGCTTACCCTCTAGCTTATTGCTCGATCAGATTGTCAAGCTAAAGGCTTTCAGCAAGTTCGAGAATACCGCCGAAGCTTTAAGTGCTGCCACTTTATTGATAGATAGCAAACCGAGCAAGGGCCTACGCAAATTTCTGCGTGCACATTGTGATAATGAAATATTAGCTGTCGCTGATTCAAAGTTGGGGAGTGTGATCAAGGACAAATTGGTGAGCTTTAATCAAACTGTTAATTTGGACTTTGCTTTTTTCCTCTCTTTTTTACCCGTGTATTTCAAGGTTGATCTTTTAACGACATTTTCTTTTGCAGCAAATAGAATGCATCCATAACAATGCTGTGACGGAGCTGATGAGGTGTTTACGAGCTCAATTGACTGAACTTATTGTGGGGCTTGGGGTTCAAGATTTGGCTCCAATGAGTCTTGGATTATCTCATAGCCTATCTAGGTACAAACTCAAATTCAGCCCTGACAAGGTGAGAATTGCTTCCCTTAATCCTAATGGTTTTTGGGTATTCTTTTAATTGGAAATCACAGTCTATTGGGTACACTCTCTGTTGAGGTGATGAACGGGGACAGGGAGAGAGTGGGACCAGCCTGAATAAGTCAATGGTCTACAATAGGGTCTTTCTCCCTGGCCCATTGTATTAGTGTACTTTCCTTGACAACTCACTGTGGAAAGTGGATTTCAATCATTTCATGAGGACCATGTGTTACTCAATTCATGGATCAATTCTTCTATCTTGCTTTCATTTCATGGTGTCTATATATTTTATAGGTTGATACCATGATCATTCAAGCCATTGGTTTGTTAGATGATCTTGACAAAGAGCTCAATACTTATGCCATGAGAGTTAAGGAGTGGTATGGTTGGCATTTCCCAGAGCTGGCGAAGATTGTCCAAGACAATATACAGTATGCCAAGGTTGTAAAACTCATGGGTCATCGTGCCAATGCTGCTGAGCTTGATTTTTTAGAGGTGAATATGTGACCTTTTCTTATTGTTCCATGAAGTAAATAAAAATGTGTGACTTTTGATCTTCATGGTTCCAATGTTCATATGTGCCTGATCCTATGCTTGGGTTTTCATCAGATATTACCGGAAGAGGTTGAGGCTGAGCTAAAAGAAGCTGCAGTAATATCAATGGGCACTGAAATCAGTGACCTTGATATGGACAATATTAGATCTCTTTGTGACCAAGTGTTATCTCTTTCAGAATACAGAGCTCAACTATATGACTATTTGAAAAGCAGGATGAACACTATTGCTCCGAACTTGACTGTGCTTGTAGGCGAACTTGTTGGAGCTCGCCTTATTGCACATGGTGGAAGCTTGTTGAATCTAGCAAAGCAACCAGGGAGCACTGTTCAGATTCTAGGGGCCGAGAAGGTACATTGAGCTTATGATACACTCTAATGTTATGTTTGATTTCTATTTTCAAGTAATTGCATTTGGGGAAATCTTGGTTGCAATTCTGTTTGAATTGGAAATATTGGTTCACAACATTGGAAATTTTAAATCAATCATTTTAAGGTCCTAATGCTAAAGCCCTGGTTAAATTGTTGGTAGCTCTTTTGAAAGCTGAATGACCAACATATTGCATTTTGATCTTTATTTCTTTTGATGCAGGCTCTTTTCAGAGCATTGAAAACTAAACATGCGACTCCAAAGTATGGGCTCATATTTCATGCATCCCTGATAGGGCAAGCTCCGCCCAAATTTAAAGGAAAGATTTCCAGATCTCTTGCAGCAAAAACTGCCCTTGCTATCCGTTATGATGCTCTCGGGGAATCTCAGGATGCTTCAATGGGCCTCGAGAATCGTGCTAAGGTGAGTGAATTAGAAGCCAATTTGTTCCTTTTCTTGCTTTTACATTTCTTGGTTTAGTACATGCTCGTAGGCATTGATCAACACCTTTGAAATTTAGCAACTATCTGGATTTAGGCTCTTTTCAGATTTTTGTCATTTCTTGAAACCAAGGGATTTACTAATGGGTCAGTCAAAATTGATCAGCTTAATGTCATAGATCAGCTTACTGATCAATGAGTATGGGAGATCAATGCCCATGCTGATTCTCTTTTGCAATGAGATGTTTTCTGTTGTATGGCTTCTGGCCTTATTTGTTTTTTTTTTATAACTGGGATCACAAATTAGTGTTGGTTGTGCCTACATAATTTTCTTTGCAAATTCAATTTCTGTCAAATGTCTCATTTGGCCTTTATTTAAGTCAAGTAATATATAGAAAATCATGGTGCTGGTTTTATTGGAATATTTCGTCCTTCAATTGTTTCAACCTTGACATGCTTCTGTTATAGTAATGGAATCCAATAAATTTATTTGTTAATTTATTGGAAATATCAGATCGAGGCCCGGTTAAGGAGTCTCGAGGGGAGAGAATTAGGCCGAGCTGCTGGCTCAACTAAAGGAAAGATGAAAGTAGAAGTCTATAACAAGGATCGAAAGAAGAGTGATGCGGGGTTGTTAACCGCAGCCAAGGTGCTCTCTGTTTATTTGCTAGGACTCTTCTGCTGTAAGAATACTGATATTTTTAGTTTTGAAAGAGCAGAGGCTAATGAAATGGATTTGTTTACGTTCCATTTTGTAGACATACAACCCTGCTGCCGATTCAACTCTTGGGAAGCCGCCATTGCTTGAGGAAGGAAAGAGACCTTCAAAAAAGAGAAAGCAAGAAGACTGGGAAGGGAGAGATGAGGAAATGGGTGCAGTTGAAGCTGAAGAACGTGGAGAAGAGAAAGGGGAGAAGAAGAAGAAGAAAAAAACCCAAGTGCCAGAAAATATGGAGATTGAAACTCATGATCAAAGTGGTGAACCAGCAGTGGGAGAGACAGGAGAAAAGAAAAAGAAAAAGAAGAAGCAACTCCAAGAACCCCAAAACATAGATGCGGAAACTGCTGATCAAGGTGGCGAACCAGAAGAGAAAGGAGAGGAGAAGAAGAAAAAGAAGAAGAAGACTGAAGAAGAGAATGTGGACAACCAAATTGAAGAAGTTGAACCTAACAAAGTCGAAGATGGAGAAAAGAAAAAGAAGAAGAAGAAGAAGAAGAAGAGAAATGATGAATAGGTGCTATCAGAGAGTTTGCAGGTGAAGCATGGACATTCACAGGCTTGGGGAAGGAGCAGGAGTGGGTTCGATGGTGAGAGAAAAGTGTCTCGAGAACACACTTCAATCTCACACAAGTGCATAGATTTTCACCCCAATTTTAATTATGTAGGATTCTTAGTAGTATCTGATAGTTCTCTATCTAAATTTCCTGCTGGAATTTTGAATGTTTCCTGAACAGGAAAACTCTAGGCGGTTGCTTTGCTTGAATTGAGGTTTTATATTTATGTATATTTGGCTTTTGAATGTAGGTTACTTTATAAGATTGGTTTTGCTGTAGAGGAATGTGTACTTACCCGTTCAGTTACATGGGGATCTACAGTTACATGTCCAATGTGAAGCATAAACTGAAAAAACATGGAGTCATGAAGGTTGGTCTAATGATCTAGATGAGGTATTTTAGCCCTTTTCTTGGTGATGCTTGTCTACAAATGATATCATTCTATAGACCTTTTTGTCCTGTAGTTTGTGCTGGTACATATGATTGTGATGGATCTTTTGTCTTGCTTATTTTCATGTTTGGGTTAATTAGTACCATCAATATCAGTGAACAATTGTGGACTGAATCTGGAAATATGATGCATCTATAATGAAGGGGTGGGTCCAATGATGTTCCCAGTTGGTAACTGTGGGTCCCATGTGCCCTTCAAGATGCAATTTCATCTGAAGATGTAGGGTGAAGATGTTCCCCAATATGTGGATACATCATGTTTTTTTGTCCTAATGGGGATATGCACATACTATGTCAAATGAAGGTCAGGATCAAATTTTTTTTGGTACAAGGAGGTTGCAATCATTTTTAGTCTAAAATCCAATAAATAAAAGTGTCAATATTTGAGAAATTTATTTTTGGACTCTGTGCTTAAAGAATGATACATTCTCAGCCATCAGATTTAAAATTAATAGTTAATGGTGATTATGGCCTTTTTGTATCAAAAGTTCATAGTCTCATAGATATGTTTTATATATAAGTGTACAAAAATGTGTGCATACCTTTTGTATCATTGTTTGCTTATTTGAGTATTTTGTGTCAGGTTTTTAATTGCCTGCATTAGATATTCCAAATTTCCAATGCTCTTCCATGCTATATTTGCAGTTCCATTCACCACAAATTGGTTCTGATTTGAAAAATCTCAAGAGTTTTTTGTAAGTTTCCAACCTCACCTCCTTGATTACAAAATCGTTTAGCTTTCTAGAAAGATATCACATAGAATAGTCTTTTACAGTTATCAAATTCCTGAAAGTCTTAAACTTTGGCCATTATGAATGGGTAATGGGAGTACTTAACCATTGCTCATGATCCAAAAAAGTACCAAAATATTAAACATGTCAACTAAATTACCACCACAAAAATTATGCATAGCATAGCATCTTTACAGCCTACAAATTTTCCTATATCTTCTTTTCAAGATGAGGGATTCTGCTATGTTTGCCGTACTTCAAGCTGTGGTGCATCTCCACTCTTGAGAATGTACAGTGGGTTCCCTGCCTATGCAGTGTTGGATACGCATGCTGTACTTCCCTAAATATCATTAGCCTCTTACATTAGTCCCTTATATCTTGTAAGTTACGAGGACCGCATGACAGTGTGCATAGCTTGTGTCTGTGCATGCTTCTTTAATGGAATCTAAGATTGACTTGCCGGTCAAAGTGGTTTGGGATGGATGATCTAATGCCAGCCCTTTATAGCTATTATCATTTACAGATTGAGATCGAGTAAGCTCAAAAGCACTGCCATGGATGGGAAGGGAGGGGATGGTTATGAAGCGAGATCGATATCCCAATCTGGTTCAAGTTTCTTGAGCACAATAGATGTGCAAAGAGAGAAATACATGCGGGGAAGATCATATTATGACCTGTTTTTCTGGGCAATCGTGAAAATAGGCACTCACCTCGTATATGAGGGTGCGGTTTGTATAGTACTGAGGCTCTAAACAATCAAAGTAAAGCGTATCTTCAAATAGTATTGAGAAATGTGGTTTCAATAATGGAAATTTTTGTCATAGCCTTAAAATATATTTTCATCTTTAATTATAAAATTTAAAGCTTAAAAAATAGTGTAAATCGAGCAGATCTATGAAAACTTGAAAATTGACAGTCCAAAAATCAGTTACACGATGCACTAGTTCCAAAACTTGAAATTGATTGTTTTTCTCATGTCCATGCATCTTGATGTCGAGATGATCAATTTGAGGATATTTGAGCATCAAAACAACGTCTTCTATTGAAATGTTTGGGATGGGCTCTAATTTGATTGTTTAGAGCCACGGCTCTATATAAAATTTTTCTCGTATCTAAATACTTGGATGAATGTCACTTTTTGCCGGAGTTACCTATGTGGATAGTGGGACTAAAAGTTGGCACGCCAGTTATCCGGTTGCATCTTTATAGTAGTTTCATCCTTGAATGTAAAAAATGTAGAGGTAAAAGCAGTTTTAGATAGCGTGCATTATCATTATCCAAGCCTTATCCCAATTATTTGGGGCACATAAAAAAGAATTAATGTTTAATGCACTGGTCTTGCTTGTCTTCCATCAATCACCAAAGTACGCCTGATATTGTGTCTTTTTTTTTAGGGAAATTTATTTAAATATACTTAAAATATTACTTGATTAACATTTTACTCATGTTATGATGCAATTTCAAAATACATATCAAAATACACATGATTTTGAGTTGGAATAGTCGAAAGAATGGTAAAATGTTAAATAGTTGAAGGCTGATATGTATGTTGATGAGTTTTCCTTTTTTAAATATTATGCCTTTTCTTTTTTCAAAGTGAGTACTCTTATGATGCAAACCATGCCCCTCTTGGAGCAAACGAACAAGGTGCTCTAGTTAGTGTACCTCAAGTTGAACAGTGATTTGACTAGGAGTGGGAATAGTATGAATATGGCTCTACTACAATACGCGTTTGCTCTGTCTAAGCATATAGAGTCATTTTGTTTCTTTTAAGATTCAATCAAATGTGCTTGGGGTACACTTAGGGATCTGCAAAAGCTAAATAATATTCTTTTAAATAAATGAAAAAATATGGCATCCTCTTAGAAAGATTCCTTCTGGCTTTGTTGATTCCTTTTTTAATGGCCCGTAGGATGTATAGAATTAAAACTCACCTTAACATAGGGGAAATCACCAAAACCTCACTAATTTTTGTTAAGATACCAATACACCACAAAGTTAATTTATCAAAACCCCCCCTATTATGCTCACATGTATATTACTGTTGTCTGACACTAAATTATAAATTATATGACTTGACTAACCTCCTAAATTTGTTTAAGATGGGCATGATGAAATGTAGGCCAAAAATGAAGTGGGCTAATCAATGGCAAGGTTGTTATAAGTTGAATTTTGATGGAAACTCTTAGGGTAATCTAAAGGTGGCCGGAATGGGGGGAGCGTCGAGCGATTGAAGTGGAAATGTAAATTTCTATTACGAAGACCCTTGTGGGAATATGACTGAGGCTGAAATGGCATCTTTGTTGGAATGCTTGACGATTATAAAAGATAAGCAAATGGGTTCATTATGCATGGTGGAAGGGGATTTGTTAAATACAATTGGTGCAAGAAGGAGCATAAGATACCATGGCAATTGAGGAAATGTCGTCTGCAAATTATGGACTTACTTGTTTTGTTGAGGGTTTCATTCTTTCACGTCTATAAAGAAGCTAATGACTTGGCGGATGCATTAGCAAAAAAAGGTGCATCTTTCTTTGAGTTGGTTATTTCTGATGATGTTACCGGGTTGCTGTGACCTGAATTTTGTAATACTTTGATTGGTTAATAAAAGTTTGGAATATTATCAAAGAAAAATTATAAAATTATATAAGTTTTCATGCTTAACAACGTGGTTTTGGTAATGCTACATTAAATCCATCCTTTCAAACCTCAATAAGGCCTTGTGGAATTTAATTTTATGTAATATCTTCTTGTTCATGAGTTTGGATCTATAAAAGGCTCGTCTTTTTATTAGCAATTGGCTTCATGCGCGTAAAAATATAATGAGAGGTAACAAAAAATATAGCATACTTGATATCAAAAAGAATAAATAGTAATAAAATATATAAAGAATCCGAAACACAACAACGAAAATATATGACGTGATTTACAAATAAATAAAAAACATTATGCCTTTCGAACTGGAACCTTAAGAATGAAAAAGAAAATTGACCAAAAGAACTAGTATAACCGATTGAGATTGTGGTAAGTAATTAATACTAATAATGAATAGACCAGAATAATAAAGATACATATGAGAATGGAACGAACTTATTAAGAGATAATTACAAAATTATTAAAAACAATGAAGAATAGAATAACATGGAGAATACACTTACCTTGTTCAAAGATGGGAAAGTTATTAAGAATATAGGTTATTGGTCTCAAAATTTAGGTATGTTATGGGTCTTAAAATATGTTTTGGTCTTAGAGCCCAAATACCCAAGTTCCATATTGAATTCGAAACCCGAAACCCGAAACCCAAAAACCGAGTTCCATATTGAACCCGAAACCCCAGTTCCATATTGAACCCGAATTTTGGTCTCAAAGCCCAAATACCTTGTGCTAGATGAGCTTTCTAATTATGGGTTCCAAACCCGAAACAAGTTTCTCCATTAAAAAGTTTTGTATGGAACCCACAACAAGTGTTATTTGGTAATTTGGCTTAATTGACCTTCGCATAAAGCTATAAATGGCACCGTACCTGTTTTGGGTTTCAACCTTAGAACAATATTTTCAACAAAATATATATTGGGTTTGAAATTCACACCCTGCATGTTTTGGGTTTCAACCTTAGGATAATTTTTTTAATAAAAAATAAACTGGGTTTGAAACTCACGCCCTGCCTGTTTTAGGTTTCAACCTTAGAACATTTCTTTTTAACAAAAAAAAAGTCTATTGGGTTTGAAACTAAAACAAAAGTATTTAGGTCATATAAATTATCAAAATACCATTAATTATTCATGGTAGTCGCGTATTTTCTATTAAATGAGACTCTTAATCTTCTATATATAAAACGTGAGGAGGTTCGTAGCCAAAATGTCAACCAAGAAATCCACCTCAGGTTCGTAGCCTTGGTGATGTTGCTTCGAAACTAATTTATATAGTGCACGCGTGTGTAGCTCACATGTGTCACAAACCCAATAGTAAAAATTATCTATATTCCTTCACATGTTATATAGGAGCCCTCAACTAAAAACTACATTAAATATTTTTAAAATGTTTTTTAATATTTTTATTTTCAAATGCTCATATTATCATACATACTTAAATTTTTTATTAAATCCATAACTACTATTACATATACTTAATGACGGATCATAAATAAAATGTGCTCCTTTAGGAGCAGAATGGATCATCACATAAGATTATAAACTAACATTAAATGCTCAAATGGTACCCACAAAGTTAATATTT